GCCTGGAGTTGCCATCAGCACGTGGCCTGGTACCCCGCCGACCCACACTGTCTGCACAATGCCCCCATTGGCTGTGGAAGTGAAGGGGGCGGTCCCAGAGCCCAGAGGTCACGCATTTTGAGAACTTGGAAGCTCTCGCGGCCTCTCCTGGTGGCGCGGTCCCTGTGATTGTGCTGGATGTGCAGTGTGGGCACAGGAACAAGCCCTTGGCTAGGAGAAGGGGCAGCATTTTCTCCCCAGCACCTACAGGCAGTGAATGTTAGGTTTACAACTTCTGAGGGACTACAACTAGACCCTTTAGGGAAAAACAGAAATGCAATGAAAAGTGTCCCTGAGGGCCAAGGGCACCTGCGGTGGAGGGTGGGGTGCAGCTCCTCCTTGCAGCCTGAGCTCAGCTTCTGCACAGCCTGGGCCGGGGCAGCTGCAGGTGGCAGAGGTGGGGCCCGCTCGGGACAGCCCTCGTTTTGCTTGTCTTTTCCAGGGGCTCATGGGAAGTCAGGGGTCCTCATCCTCCCAGGTCTCACCCCAGCAGGATGCCCCGAGGAAGAACACGGGGTCTGCGGGGCCTCGGGTTTCCCTCCACGTGCAGGGCTGGCAGTGCAGCCCCTGCTTGAGGAAATCGTGAGGACCATGACATCCTCTTCCTCCAGGGCAGGAGCCCCACCGGCTCCCCAATGTCTTCAAACACAGCCGTGGGGGCCCCAAGGAGAAACTGAGGCAAGCTGTGAGAGGGCCCCTCAGGACAGGAAAAATGTCTGAGGCCAACTGCTGCTGCACCTTGGGGTGGAGGAACCAGCCACAGCCGACGGTGCCCCCACGGGTGTCCCACGTGGTGTCCGGGACAACCCAAGGATGCCAACAAGTGCTGGGAGCCCAATTTGAAGACAGGCTTCACCTAAAAATCCAGATTTCTGACTTCCAGCAACACCTGATCTCAGGGCCTCCCTCTCTTCCTTGACGAGAGGCGATTACTCCAAAGGCTGCGTGTGTCTCTTCCGGGGCGTGGTCTGTTGGGTCCCGACGCCACCTGTGCTGACATCACCTTTCCAGATCTGGACCCCAGTGCTTCTGTTTGTATCTTGGGTCACAGCCAGGGCGACGTCCTCCCCCAGGGCTGACGAGCTCAGTGCTTGGAGCCTTCTGGCCCCAGAACTCTCAGAACCCCGGTGGAGGTGGGGCTAGAGATTTCTGGGTTCCCTTCCAGGCCCACATGCACAGGACAATCCACTGTGGAAAATGCTGTCACCAGCAGTGAGCACTTAGGATTCTGGAGAACCAGCTCGAGGACCCCCATCCTCCTGGGCTTCTGCTCGGCCCTGGGGCCCACCCTAGGGGCTGACGGCCATCTGGGACGGGTGGAGGGAGCTCAGGCTCCCCTGAAACCCTCCACGGGGGACATGCTTCCCATTCAGACACTAGTAGACGCTGCCTGTGTCCAAGTGCCTGTGGGACAGGAGGGAACTTTTCAGCTAGACCAAAGTGGCCTTCCTGGGGACCCAGTTTCAGGGATCGCTTGCTGGGGCTCAAGAGGACACCATATCCAGAGGAATTCCCAAGCCATCGGTTTCTCTAACCCCCAAAATCCTGGAGCTGGAGCTGGGATGTCTGCCCAGGTGGCCTCGCAGGTGCCGTTTCTTGGCTTCTGGCTCCCCCTTGTGGAACAGTCTGAAATTACACCCACCTGCAGCAGCAGGACCACAGCCCAGGACGCCTGCGCCAGGGAAGCGGGTGGGGTGGGGGAGCTGCTGTGGGGGCTCTGTGGTTTCTGCATGACTTCTGCAACTTACCTGGAGGTCTCCAGGATAAGGCATCTCTGTAAAGCAACACACAGGCCCGCAGGTGGTGCCCAGAGGCGGAGTCTGGCCCTGTGCAGGGGGCTTGGGGGGTTGGGTGTTCCTGGGTGGGACTGAGGGGCTTGCCCAGCTGCGCCAGGGAGGCCCTTGGAGGCGCTGACCCCAGCGGAGGCCCCGACCCCCGGGAGGGTGCACCTAGGTCTAACCCTGGGTTGTTACCAGAGCCGAGAGGCTTGTTCCGTCTACTCTGTCATGGCCTTGCTGCCAGTTTCCCTGCAAGGTCCTAACAGGAGAGGAAGGCACAGGTGACCATCAGGGGTGCGGGGCCCTCACAGGAGATAAAGGTGCAGGTGACCATCAGGGGTACAGGCTCATGGGCCCTGGGAACGCAGCATGGGCCTCAAGGTATGGCTGTCGCTGACCTGGAATTGGATGAGACTGTGTAGAACAGTGGCAAATCCTTGCCCACCGTTCCTGGTGCCTGCCTGCTGGCCCTGCTGGACACCTGACACTCTGCTCTTGCCACCCCAGAGCACCAGGCCCCGTCTCAGGTCTGATCGTGAGCCGCTCTGATGACAGGCTGTGCTCTTATTTTCCTGGCCTCAGCTTCAACCTTCCCTTTCCAAGGAGTCTCCCAAGGCAGCCAGCCCCGCGGGTTCCTCCACAGCACGTACCTCCCTGTGGCCTGTGGCCACCTCCTCCAGCCGCAACAGGGCCGTGGGGATCACACTTCTACATGTAAACCTGGAGATTCGGAGCCAGTGCAGCACTGCATGCTGGGGGTGCTGCCTCCAGAAGGAACGGTCCCTCCTCACAGAGCACCGCTCACTGCAGACATGCAGAATGCTCTCCCTAGGCCTCTGTGGCTGCAGGCCTGCTCAGAATGTCTAGGGCTGACCCGGGTCCAGAACCTAAAAGGCAATGAGGACATGCCACAAGGCTGGTGGAAACAGGCCGTCCGATGCCTCGCCTGACCCCAGCCCCGCCTGACCCCAGCCCCGCCTGACCCCAGCCGGCTCCTTAACTGGAGCTGGAACCAGGTCTCATGTCCATCTAAGGACCCTTTGTGCGGCGATGATTTTCGTCAATCTAGCAGAGAATCCGTGCCACAGACCCCGCTCTGACCCCTTGCTGTGTGCCATTGTCTGCCGGAAACCTATTCATGTAACCCTCACAGCAGCAGCCCGAGGTGGGGGCGATTTTCGTTGATGGGGGAAAAGACCCCTTCCTCCTCCAGCCTCTACCTGCCCTTAACACATCTCCATTTCTTGAGATAAATCTTCAGCTGCCCCCAGTCAGTAACCACCTGATCTGATGCCGGTTGTTTCTACCTTTGAAAGCTGTAGGCTCAGGGGTTCAGCTTTTCTGAGGTTACCTACAATGTTATTATTCTAATAGTTTCACAGGTGGGTGGTTTATTTTCAAGGTGCAGGGGAGGAGGGTGGAGGGGGAGCAGCCTCTGATTTGCACTTGGCCTCCACCCCCCAGGCCTGAGTGTGTGACCCCATATCCCGGGCTGCTGGCTGTGGACTATGGAAGATTTTTACCGGCCCAACGCCCCTCACGCAAACTGCTCCGGCAGAAGCGAAAAAGACACGTGAAAGCCAGGCCAGCCCCAGCCAGGACGTGACTTCAGGGTGACCCCAGCTCTGTGCAGGAGGGAAAATCCCAGGCAGCCTCCGCCAGGACCAGATGCGTCCAGATCACTGAGCGGACACCAGCGACACCTTGTGGGGACGCAGGAAATCGCGTCCTCGCAGAGCCAGGCCCCCGGAACTCAGAATGCTCAAGCACAGATGAGCCGCTGAGGAGTTCCATTCCAAAGGCGCTGATGACGGGTATGGGGAAGAAAGGCAGCTTTATTGCTTCCTCTGGGGCTAAAGAAGCTGTGGGGGACGGCGGGTGGGTGTGGGGCAGCCCCTCAGCTGGTTGGTGAAGCTCCCCTGGGGCCCCAAGCACACAGCTCGGCCAGGACTCAGGTGCCGGGGCCCACCTTGGCGGGAAACAACGCTGTAGAACATGAAGACACGGAACTCCCGGCACAGAGACTGCGGCGCCTGCCTTAGAAAACACGGAGCAACTTTCCTGTGACAGAGACCTCCACGCACGGGCGCTGCTGCAGGTGATGGCACACACACACAGGTTTCCAGGAGCACCCCCGGTGCAGGACACACAGAGAGAAGCAACGCCTGGCCCAGAGGCCTTCCCAGCTTCACAGAAGCAAGGAGCCCGGCTGAGCGGCATTCCACAGGCTTTCTCCAGCAGGGTGTGCTCACGGCCAAGTCACTGAGGAAACCTGTCCCCAGGCAGGTGGGCCATCTTAAGGGATGAGAGCTTCACAGGACAGCTGCTTCTACATCTAGAAATGGGGCTCGAGTGTGGTTTTACGAATCTGAAAAGGGTGGAAAGGCGCGTGGTCGCAGCAGTCTCTGGGCGAGGATTTACACTGGGGGCTGCAACAGGGCGACACTTGGAAACACCCGTTTGTGCAACGTGCCTTTAGAGTGTGTGAGAACAGCTCTGTATGTGAGGACTCAATAACTTGTTTCTGCTGAAAAGCAAAATGCGAGTATAAAACGAGTGTGTCTTAGCCAAGGGCAGCCCGTCTGAGGGACAGCTGCAGCTGATGTGGACACGGGCCTTCATGGAGCCTCCATTTTATGACATTTGAGTAGGGATGACTTTGTGTTTTAACATCGAAGAAAGAATGTGAATGTTAGGGAATGACAGACAGTAAACTTTCATTCTAATTCTCAGAATGCCAGAGTAAGACAAACCCCTAACAATAATAGTGAAATAATTAGGGCTCGTTTTCAGTAGAAACTCAAGCTGCTTCAATATGGAAATAAAATTTTGAGAAACAATACAAAAGAAAGCAAGCAAGCAGGGGTGACGCCCCACACTGAGAGGCGGGAGACGCTGTCCCAGCATCTGTGCCCTGGGCTCGCCTGGCAGGGGTGACGCCCCACACTGAGAGGCGGGAGAGGCCGTCCCCGCATCTGTGCCCTGGGCTCGCCTGGCA